AACGCATGGCAGGCAGTATGAGCACCATCAATAAGTAAGTCGAGATAGTTGGAAGAAAAAGGTTTTTCCACCCATAGAACAGGAAACGGGATTTAAATTCCACCTATAGAACAGGAAACGGGATTTAAATTCGCCTTAGAGGAGGATGCGTCGAAATATTAGCAAGGGTTAAAAATGAATATACCTCTCAAAGAGTGACTAGAAAAATTAGCAAGGCACTTAGAACGCTATCTAGCAGGTAGTAAGCATTTTCTAGTGCTTAAGAGGCTAAATACATATGTGTGTATGTGCACATATCATAACTGACGGTGTATATGTTGTAAACATAGATATATACATAGTATATACTCAGTAAAGTTTAATAATTGTTGACACATACTGTGGAATCCACAATAACTCTGTAAGGTAAGCAGGAAGGTATTTAATAATCTCCAACCTGAGTAATTTACTGGTGATCCATTGTTCCCATCCATGTTTCTAACTTCTGAGCCAGAAGTCAAAGTTGAAACTATAGTCTTCTCCAACATGCAAGTCACTTTCAGATGTGCAATAACTTCTTATATGGAATATTAAAATATAGGACAGATGTTTTAACTATTATGACTTAAAATACAAGGGTAGTGTCGGGTAAGTGTCTTGGGCCTTTCAATAAGGAAAAAAAACAGCAGTATCTATGCAAAAGTCATGATGTAAAATTTCCCAGGCTCACAAAAAATTTACATAATATGGGCCTGGGGAGATGGCTCAGTGGCTAAGGCCTAAGGAAAAATCCCCAGGACTACATAAAAGCTCAGTGTGATCACTCACACATGCACCTGTTACCCTGACCCTGTGGGAGAGCGGAGACAGAAGGATGGCTGGGGCTTGATGGCTGGGGCTTGCTGCCTTCTGATCCAGCTCCGGGTCCCGTGGGAGTCCCTGTCTCAAGGAAGAGAGGTGAGAAGTAATAGAAGTGGATGCTGTGTGCGATCCTCTGGTCCCCACAAGTGCACCTGCACAGGCACATGCCGTACACGCTCACACAGCGCACACACAGCACACACACTGATCCACAACACTCAGGATAGAGTCCTACTGGACTGTTTTTTCTCTACGGTTAACTCCAGTTTGCTGATTGTATGCATCAGCTTTTAGTAGAAAAGAATTAAAGTGGAGAAATGTGCTCTGAGACTACATTTAAATAGATATATGCCCACGGGGTCATTTGGTATGTAAAGGGTATGTTCGCATTAGCCGAAGGAAAAGCTGATATTTTCCTTGCCATGCCTGTTCGAACTGCACCTCAAAAAATATAAAAGTTCTTTTTTCTCTCTGAAAAGCGGGGGGGCTGTGTGCTGTTTTAACTACAAGCACATTTGGTTTCTGTCAACTTCCATTATGAATCATGCAATTTGTACCTGTGTTCATTATCTGCAGTTAGATTTCTTAAAAGGCTTTGAGGATTTTTTTCCTCCCCATTTAAAAATTCATTCACCCCTTAGCGGGCAGTGGTGGCACACACCTTTAATCCCAGCACTTGGGAGGCAGAGGCAGGTGGATTGATGTGAGTTTGAGGCCAGCCTGGTCTACAAGAGCTAGTTCCAGAACAGGCTCCAAAGCTACACAGAAAAACCTTGTCTCGAAAAACCAAATAATAATAATAATAATAACAATAATAATAGTAATAATTCATTCACCCTAACACTTAACACTTAAGAGAAGAGTGGAAACCCTGAGTCGAACTGGGAAGGCAAACAAAGAAAGTTGTTTGTTGAACTAGGTAACATGACCCTGAACTATCACGCTAAGCTTCCATTATGGTCACACACACACACACACACACACACACACACTCATGCTATCTTATAGTTCAGACTCAAGTGTGCCCCTTTATCACACACCATGCTAGAACTAGGCTCAGGCTACTTTATTGTACACTTTGCTTAGTTTGTGCAAATTAAACGTGCTTAATCTAGCCCTCAGTAACCAGGTAACACAAGACTTACAAAGACGGGTCTTTTTCTTAGTGGTGCCTTAAAAAGAAATCCTCAGATGCCCAGCACTGTTTAGGCTGCCCATTCCTCCAGTTGGGGCGGGCGGGTGCTGTTGTTTCTAACTTTGTATGAGCAGGGAAAGTAGAGAGCTAAGCAGTTCTGAGAGTGGAGTATGTGTACATGTGTGGAATTATTCTTATGCTGTCATTTTAAGATGGAACTGGCACAGGGGCCTAGATGGTATGTGGGTTTACTCCAGGCAGGGAATATAAACAGAGCCCAGCCTTGAAACGCAAGGTGTGTAGTCGATTCATTGACTTCGCTGTTTGCCCAGCTGCGGGGTGACTCCCTTTTTATTCCCTAGCTGCCCAGCTGCTTCCTAATGCTATTTTCTTTGCTTTCAAACTAGAGTGGCCAACCAGACTTCCTCCAGGTCTAGTAATTATTATAAACAGACAACTTTCCAGTAGCACCGGGGTAGTTAAGCTTTATTCTGATTTGCTCGGTATGGACTTTGCACGGATTTAAAGAGATGATCACAGATGACCGTAGCAAGAATCCCCACTGGCCCCAGGTTTTACTCTCCCAGACAGTCGTCCTGAGAGTGCGCTGCTGGATCTCAATGAAGTGTTCACTTCCTACCTTTTCTTCCAGCCTAGAGAAACAATGGTTTTGTATGGCTCCACTTAAATGAGTTCATTTATTCCAATGAGACATCCAGGTTTCAACCTATTTTAAAACTCATCTTTCCAAATGAGAAAAGGGAGGTTTATTACATTAAAACATTACTTTTACCTCAACTCCTGACCAACTATACCTTAGTTACAAAATTAACTCTGGATAACTTGGTTATTAGTGAGTGAAACAAAATCCTCCTCCTGCAAATGCAGACGTCCTCGGTTGTATTTGAAGCATCACGCCTATGGGTATTATTTCTCTTAGCAAATGTAATTGTACACAAAGTACAAGCCTTTTGAGTTTTCCCAGATACCTAACCCTGCATACAGCATTAAAATTATATGAGGAAACTGTCATTTTCAGGGGAAATTTCTTAAAACCTTACTACTTTTCTTCTATAGGTAGCAACATGGAAATTATAAATAGATATTATTATAAGAGCAATGAGCACTAAGACTGGAGAGTTGAAAACACAGTTCTTGAAGAGGACCCAGGTTCAGTTCTGAGCCACCGTGGAAGGGAGCCTATACCTGCTCATAACTACAGTTCCAGCGAGTCCCAATGCCTCTAGCTGCCTGGGGCAGCCGCACATACACAACACATAATATTTTTAATTAATTTAAAGAATAACACATAGATTTATTATCCAGAAAGATGTTTACTAAATATCTAGGCTAGTTATTTGGAGTACTTTGAGAGATTGTAAATCAACTTGTTTTTTTTTTCTTTAATTAAAGAGTATAAACTTAGCAGTGCATTTCAAAGTCAGACAAAAACATGTACACAATTTTCCTAACACGACAGTTTAGCCTTAAGGAAATTGTCCTAGGTGGCCACAAGTGTGTTCATGAACATTTTTGTAACAGTAATGTACCCAAGGTTTTTTAATAATTGAAGATTTAGTATGTGAACTTATCATATCCATAGAAAAAATGTACTGTAAAACTTTTTGTGTTCCATTTATTCCTAAATTTTACTAACAGACTAATTGGATATGTTGTTCCCAAGATAAGACAGTGTACACAGGAAGGTTTTGACATAACCCAATCCTAACACAGCCAACAGTAGCAAGTTAGTCGAGTATGGTCCAGGCGCTTAGGGACTCTCTGCACAGCCTTAAACATGCATTTTACAACATTTGGTGATTCAGATGGAGAGTTGGCTCAGTCAAGGAAGACCTGAGCTCGGTCCCCAAGAACCCATGTAACATTTAAGAGGCTGTTCACGGGAGGGATGCCTGGAATCCCAGCATTGCAAGGGGTGAGCCCTGAAACTCACAGGCCAGTAAGGCTAGCCAAATCACTGAATTTGAGGTTTGCTAAGAGGCCCCATCTTGAAAGCATAAGAGTAGGAGAGCCTGTGAGGAAAAAACACTCAGTCCTGGCCTACACACACACACACACACACACACACACACACACACACACACACACACACACACCCCTGCACACATGCCCACACCCATTCTAACAAATACTACACCACAATATATTTATTTTAAAACCCATTAAAATTATTTAGGTTGGTTGATCCCAGATTTTGACAGGAGAAATAACATGTGGTATTTTAAAATGCAGGGTATGCGTTTGACTATATGCCAGATCTTTACAGTGTTGTCATTGCTTTCCGTTTGTTTTTGTAACCTCCTTTTTGTATCATTTGTTTTTCCACACCGAATAGAAAGTATTCCTCTGTGAACAGAGAAACCATTTTTATACTGTGAGTCTCACTATGTATGAACCTTAATATTTATGTCGGTATCTTGACAAATAGATTTTGTTCGATAGAAGTCCTTTTTTTTTTTTTTTTTTTTTGGTTTTTCGAGACAGGGTTTCTCTGTGGCTTTGGAGGCTGTCCTGGAACTCGCTTGGTAGTCCAGGCTGGTCTCGAACTCACAGAGCTCCGCCTGCCTCTGCCTCTGCCTCCCGAGTACTGGGATTAAAGGCGTGCGCCACCAACGCCCGGCTCGATAGAAGTCCTTTAAGTGAGGCTTGTAGTGATGTGGAGTTGGTTCGGGTAAAAACGTATCTGAGAATAGACAGGCAATGCTGCCAATTCATGACATAGAGGAGATGTGGGGAGCACGCTTTTCGCACGTAAGAGAAGTTTGCATAGGTAGAAAAGCCACACATAAGCCTCTGTAAATCATTTTTTCATCAGAGAGTGTCCCCTGAGTGACTCTTCCCCGCAGGTGAATTGTACAGAAGCAGGAATCAAAATTCAGTCTGGCTTTACCCCCTACCCCCACCAGTCGGGAGGCGGTGTTTTTTAACATGTACACCTTATAGCAGGTCCTGTTCACTGGGAAAGCTGCAGGCAGAGGCTAACAATCTGGGTCACTTTTCACAGGTGATGAAGACGTACCACATGTACCACGCAGAGAGCATCAGTGCAGAGAGCAAACTCAAAGAAGCCGAGAAACAAGAGGAGAAGCAAATCGGGCGGTCCGGCGATCCCGTCTTCCATATCAGACTAGAAGAGAGGCATCAACGGCGTAGCTCTGTAAAGAAAATTGAAAAAATGAAGGAAAAGGTAGGTGTGAAAAGCTACATTGCAGAGTCCTGGGTTCCTCATCTGAGGAGACAAGACAGTCCTAAAAAGCGCTGATATGCCAACAATAGACACACATGGTGAATTACTGTGAAAAGACATGCATTTCCTCCCGTGGGGATGAAGGATGTTCAAGACACATGAAATTATGTCATAACAGCTGGACATCATTGCGTGGTGAATGCCAAGTATTTAGGACAAATCTGGAGTACTGGAGTATTAACAAAGAGTTCAGTGAAAATGGGCCTGGAGCCCAAAAACATCGTTGTTATTCCCAGAGCCGGGGAACTTTAGTTTGTTATTTAAGTTGCACTCAAAATGTACGTTCCACAAAGTCCCTGGAGGATAGCTTTTATAGTGGAATAAATTGCTGACATTAATGAAAACCCGAGTGAGTTTCTGTCTTACTAAAAAGACTTGGCCTTCCTTCCTGATGCCTGTGTCATCTTAATTACCAGAGACAAGCAAAATACTCGGAAAATAAGCTGAAGTCGATTAAAGCACGGAACGAATATCTCCTAACACTCGAGGCAACCAATGCCTCCGTGTTCAAGTATTATATTCACGATCTCTCGGACTTAATTGATGTAAGTACTCGAAGGTTTGTACACACCAGCTGTCATCCATTAATGAGAAAAAACACCATCATTTATTGGAATAATGCATTTTATGTAGTGCTCAGAAAAAAATCCAACAAAACCACGAATGATACTTTGACATGGTCAGCTGTAAGACGCATAGGATGAAGCATAATTGCAAACTAAAACTGCTAATGGCAAGTTGTTATCCTGGGGGACTCAGCCAGAAAGGATAGAAAACGGTTTTCAAACTATGCTGTGGTACTAGTCTAACTGTATCATCTCAAACTAATTTACTGGGCTGGGGCTGTTACCCTAGCATGTAGGGAGCCCTGAGACTATTTGCTGAGGGGTAAATCATTGCTCTAGCCTGTGTGAAGCCTGGGGCTATTGCTGTGGTGTAGATCCTTACCCCAGCATGTGTGAAGCCCTAAGTTTGATCTCCAGCACTGTAGAAAACAAAAGAAAACTCTAAGAAGCCACAACCCACACACAGTCCTTACTATCTGAAATTCAGATTTGATTCACTTTTATATGCATGAGTGTCTTTGCCTGCATGTGTATACGTGCAGCATGTGCCCTCGAAGGCTAAGCCAGTTTTGACAAGAGAAAAACTGCACATATTGCAAAGAATTTCCTTCCTACAAGTACCAAACCCACACTGAGCACTTCTTTTCTAGGTTGGTTTTGCATTATTATTTTGTCAGTGCTAGGGAACAAACCCAAGACCTCACAGCTACATCCCAGTCCCTTGATATAGAAATTCATAAGTATATGCATATATAAATAAATGTAAGCATATGCAATAAATACATATTTATAAACACATGCTAAGGTTTCTAGGGCCTTGAACATGTTGCTTAAACACCCATGAGCTAAGTGCTTAAGTCACTGCTAAGAGCACAGTCCACAGCTAATAGTGCTGTCTGGGACTAAAGAGCTGTGGATAACCTCACTCAAACATTATTCTTGACACTGGGATTCTTCCAGTGAAGAAAACAAAGTCCTTGTCATTGTGTTCTTTACATATGTGTTGAGACAAACTATAAACTGATGTGCATATATGTGTGCCTGTCTATATGTGTGTGGAGGGGTCTGTGTGTGATGTGTGTACATGTTTAAAATTAGTACTGATAGCACTGTAAAAAAAATATAAGATAGCCAAGCATAGTGGAACACACCTTTAGTCCCAGTACTGGGGAGGCAGAGGCAGATTGATCTCTGTGAATTCGAGATAAACTTTGTCTACAAAGTGAGTTCCGTTCCAGGCCAGTCCAGGTGACATAGTGAGACCCTGTCTCAAATCAACCAAGCAAAAAGAAATGTAAGATATTGCCATGAGTGTTTTTGGCTGGGAAAGTCCTGATATTTGAGCCAAAAAGTAATCAGATGGGAGATACACAGCACCCAATGCAAGGGCAGAATCCTCCCCCCTCCCACACACACACAGAAGCTCTGGCTGGATGAAGGCTACAGAGGCGGAGGTCTGTTCTGGAGGCTGATGTGCGCCTCTCTGCAAGCACAAGGTGCTAGTGCGATCCTGAAAGTAGACAGTCTCGTTGGATCTCAGCGAGTGAAAATGGTGTGTTTGGAGGTGAGGGCAGCAAGAGACTGACAGACACCAAGTCAGTGCAGGGTCTGGACTCTGCTCAGTGCGCTAAGAAGCCAGTGAAGGGTTTGAAGGGAGTAACGATTTCGCCCAGTGTGTGTTTTGAAGACTGTGGGAACTTCATGGGAGGAAGACTGAAGGGCTTGACTGTTTGGTCGTCATGGAGTAGCACTATTTGAAAGGATTAGAAGGACTAAGAGGCGTGGCCTTCTTGGAGGAGGTGTGACCTTGTTGGAGGAAGTGTGTCTGTGAGGTTTCAAAAAGCCCATGGCAGTCCCAAGTTCCCTCCCTCAGCCTGCCGATCAGGATGTAGCTCTCGGCCACTTCTCCAGCATTCTGCCATGATGCTAATGGACTGACCCTCTGAAACTGTAAGCCAGCCTCCAATGAAATGTTTTCTTTTATAAGAGTTGCCTTGGTCGTCGTGTCTCTTCACAGCAACAGACCGGGGACTAAGACAGCCAGTCAACAAGCCCCAGGGGTCTTCCTCCCCAGTGCCGGAATTTCAGGCACACACTGCTGTGTCTGCCCTTTTCCTATGGGCGCTGGAGAACCAAACTCTAGTCTTCATGCTTGAGCAGCAGGCCCTTTGCCTAATGAGCCATCTCCCCAGACCCCAAACTCAGATGTTTTTAACCTCCAGATATAATTGACTCTGCTCTAAATAGATAGCGGTTAAACGTGCCAAGTGATTTTCAATCTTCTCAAAAGTTAGACTTTTAAAGATCAACCTTAAATTAAAGAATGTGAGCGATTCCCAGAAGTCATGACTTAAATATGGAGTTTTGAAAAAAATGACATGAAATTGGTTGGCTGTCAGAGTCTGCTAAAACTGAACACTCTAAGATGAAAGAGAATAATTTTCCTGGTTCACTTTTTTTAAGGCCCCGTGAATGTGGACCTTTTAAAATGGCTGCTTACTTTGTAAGATCCCTTTTTTTGCATATAATCATAGTTATCCTAAAACCCATTAAACTTGACCCTTACTGGTAGAAAAGAAACAGCTTGATTATTATGCAAAGGTCCCTTGAATCCTTTATGCTATGTGAGTTTATTTAACGATGTACATTATATTCTGTGCTATCTGATATTCATGGGGAGACTTGCTTTACAGGGTCTTTAACTCACAGTTGAAATGACATGAAAGTCAGTAAATACATCTTAGTAAGTCGTAGCATCATAAAGGCAGAGAATTGAAGAGGCAGGCCTTTTTATTAAAACAAAATCTTCAGTTCACCCATCTCTTCTCACGTCCATGTTTAATAAATTCGCTATGACAGATGGTCATAAGTAGGTTTCTTCATATGACAGAAAGTCAATGATTTTCCATACAATGTGTGTTTTAAGTTATTTTATTAGTTCAGGACCAGCACATGTAGACTATAGAAAATTTAAAACTCTTCAAGCCATGATGGAAGCACCGTGCTCATGCACCTGAGGTTATCACTGATAGAACCCAGACTTGCTGTACTTCCTACACACACGCTAGACAAGAGTCTTTTTTTCCCTGCTGCATTTACCAGGCTCACTGGCCCATGGGCTTCCAGAGAGTCCCCTGTCTCTACATTTGACCTAGCCATGGATGCAACATTCTGTGTGTCCTAGGGATGCAGACTCTGGTCCTTGGACCTGAGCAACAAGTGCTTTACTCACTGAGCAATCTCAGCCAAGAATGCAGTCTGGCAGGCCTGGAGCTTGCTATGAAGACCAGATTGACCTTGAACTCACAGAGATCTGCTGCCTGCCTCTGCCTCCAGCGTGCTGGGATTAAAAGCGTGCACCACTATGCTCAGCTAAGTACTTAACGGCAGGATTCCCTAATCTATAGTCAAATCCACCATTCTGTAAATTTAGAATTCTTAGAAATAACTGAGTCTTTCCAGATAAATCCACACTTGTAAGATGTATCACAGAAACTAAGTCCTCAATGATAAAATACTATTGGTCCCTTGTCACCAAGGACATGCCCAGTAATAATTAGTTGTCATTATTTCAGTAAAGTTCTGTTTCCTAGCTTCTCCCTAGAAAGGTTGAGGCTCACTTAGAAGCTTGAAGGCTCAGCCTTTCTCGTGGAGTATTTCCAGGAGATAATCCCCTGCTCTGGCCAATTTTCTGCATACGGATATCTGTCACACATGCTTTCCTGGCCATTTACACAGAATGAGACTGAAATTAGATTGCAGCATAGAGCCCCCGCTGCCTTTAGTTTATCATTTCTGAATAATCAGTTATGCTAAAGCTTTTAGCCTTATCTTTTTGTTTCTTGGGACCTATGCTTCATTAGAAAGCAACTTATTCAGAGTTCAGGCTCCTTAATTAGTCAGATTTCCACCCCCCCCCAACACGATGCTGTTGAGAGTTATCTGTGAAACCCTGCCAGAGAGAGACACTCTGTTTCCCATTAGCCCTGAATTCTTATTAGAAAGATTATAGAGATCCTGTTCAGTGGGTTAGCACATCGTAGCAATCATATAGACTAATTTTGGTATGATTTAAATCCATTGTGATTTTTTTTTCATTTTTTCAGACAGGGTTTTTCTGTGTAACAGCCCTAGCTGTCCTGGAACTCGCTCTGGAGACCAGGCTGGCCTGAAACTCACAGAGATCCGCCTGCCTCTGCCTCCCGAGTGCTGGGATTAAAGGTTTGCACCACCACCCAGCTTCATTGCAATTTTTAAGGGCTGCTTAAAAACTGAAATGAGTTTGATTACCCGAAGGCATTAAAAGTTTATTCCAGTGTGTCATAGGCCTAAGTGTAGTAAAGTTTTATTGGGGAAGGGGAGGGTGTGGGGGAAGGGAGAGAGGGGGAACAGAGAGAAAGAGGGGGGAAGACAAAGAGACAGAGTTCTGTCTGCCTCCTCAGAGAAATGGTGGAGAGAAAGAGCAGGAGTGGGCGGAGCTTGTCTCCTAAAAGAACCTTTGCACCTGCCAATAGAGCCAGGGTGCTGCCTGCCATGCATTCTGGCGTGGGCACTCTGCCAGGTCCCCGAGGGGCGGGGCCAGGTGTGCCTGGATTGCAACGATAAAGCCCTGAAATGAGGACTGGCTTTTGGTTTTTTTGTGGAGTTTTTTTGTTTTTGTTTTTTTGTTTGTTTTTTGTTTTTTGTTTTTTCCTTTTCTAGTCCCCAGTGATGTCTTGACAATATCCCTCTGGCCCTCTGAGTGACGGAAGTCCCTGAAGGGTGGCCTCAGTTCTCTGCCTTTTGTTCTTTTCCTCTCAGTTTAAGTACCATTTGGTGGCCTTAGATTTGTGTCATCAGCTCTGACCTCCTCCTGGGCTTCAATGAGGGTTTGACTTTCCGGCTAGCTGGCAGGCAGTTGTGTAGTCGTGCTGAATACACCTACCTCCCTAAGCAGCATTGGTTCCCACCTTCACTAGACTCTACACAGACGACTTTCT